AGAGATTACAGGTTCTGGGGGTAGCAAAGGAATTTTAACAATACCTGGCCTATTATTATTATTTTTAGCCCAAGCCTTTCAATTTAGAAACCTTACAATCCCCAGTCTTTTACACTTTAACTCAGACTCTTGCAGCTTAGAAATTTTACCTTTACACTGGGATTATAGATATGAGACACTTGGATATAAATGCACTTTTAAACTTGAATTCACCTACTTGTGTTTGCTGTTTTTAATGTGACCACTGGAAAATTTAGAATTACATATATGGCTCACATTTCATTTTTGTTGAACAGCACATGCTGGACAACAGGTACTGTGAATATGGATATAATTAAGCCAGCATGCCTGCCCTTGAGCTCCTAAATTGTCTAGATATTCAGAAGAAATATAATATTATCTGATAAGCATTCTTATAATATAAAAAAATCAACAAGGTGTGGCTGGGGTTGTAGCTCAGTGGTAGAGCTCTTGCCTAGTTTGTGTGAGGCCCTGGGTTTGATTCTCAGAACTGCAAATAAATAAAATGAAGGTCTACTGAAAAAAAAAAAAAATCAACAAGGTAATGCAAAAGAAAGAGAAAAAGAAACAAAGCAAGCAAGCAAGCAAACAAGCAACACTGGAGAGCGTGGCCTGGAGACCAGCATGGAAGGAAAATGCCTGTATGGGAACACGGTGAATGAGGTACTGTTTCTGTGCAGCCGTGTGGGACTGTGCCTTTGCTGCTGGGAGGTGGTCCAAGGGTACTTGATACTCTTGGGATCTGTGCACTGTAGCTGTATCTGAAGCACACAGAGTGGTGATAGGACTCCCCCCCTGCAGCAATCACATATTTGGGTCATTGAAATGTCTCCACAGGTTTTACTTAGGTGAGGTTGTCATTCAAGTAAACTAAACAGTATGGCAGAAGAAAGCACAATCGGGCAGACAGGGAGAGCTGAGACTTCACAGCACAGCCAGCTGGGCCCTTTGTCACGCAGAACAGTTTGGAGTATAAACTACCAACATACCTGCAAAGTACTGTGGATTCAAGGGGTCCAAGCACGAATTTAATGAAGGGTGGTGTTTTTAACTTGTCAATGGACCTTTATTTATTTATATGTGGTGCTGAGAAGTGAACAGAGTGCATCGCACGTGCTAGGCAAGTACTAAACCACTGAGCTATAATCCCACCTCTTAGCTACAGCTGGACTAGGTAACTGGTTAACTCAAAGACACCTTTGAATATATTTCAGTATCCCATGTAGACAAATTAAGAGAGGCACCAATGCCTGCCATCACTGGCTAGCACAGTTCACCCTGGGCTGCTACCAAGGCTTCTGCTTCTTTTCTCTTAAGTACATCTGTTTGTAGGTCTGAAACACTTATCCTTGTCTTGGTCAAAGTAAGCACCAGGCTACTCCAGTCCAACAGAAAGATCATGCTCCCATTTCAGGTCTTCCACTGTCATTCTAAGATGGACCAATTTAGGGGTGAATTTAGGAAAGGATGAGGTTGGTAGCTTCTAGGATGGTGCAATTAATCCTATGCACCATAAATAATAATAAAGTCCTTGAGTAGCCAGCTTACTTTGAATATGAGTTGGAAGTTGTGGCTCAATTTCAGTATTTTGGTGCTGGAGATTAAACCCATGGCCTAGCACATGTCACATACCTGCCTTCCAGGCCCCCTTCATTTATTTATTTATTTATTTTTGTGTGTGTGTGTGTTTGATGATACTGAGAATTGAATCCAAAGGCACTCTCCCACTGAGCTACATTCTCGGCCCTTTTATTTAATAGGGTCTAAGTTGCTGAGGCTGACCTCCAACTTGGGATCCTCCTACTTCAGCCCCCCCAGTTGCTGGGATTACAGCAGGCAATAATTTTTTGAAGACTCTCAAAGTATAGGAAGCAAAAGCAAACATTGACAAAAGGGGTGCACGGCATTAGAAACAACCGAGGGAGGAGACAACCCACAGACTGGGAGAGAATGTATCTGCTACACACCCTAAAAAGGATCAATACCCAGGAGACATATGGAATTCAAAGAGTAAAATATCAATAATCAGGAATAAAATAATAAAAAACAATTTTTAAAAGAAATTATTTGAAGATATTTCTCCCTACGAATGGTAGGGCTGGGGATATGGCTCAAGTGGTAGTGCGCTCGCCTGCCATAAGCACAGCGCTTGGTTCGATTCTCAGCACCACATACAAATAAAGATGATGTGTCCACAGAAGAAAATAAATATTAAAAATTCTATTAAAAAATACAAAGGCGGGCTGGGGATGTGGCTCAAGCGGTAGCGCGCTCGCCTGGCATGCGTGCGGCCCGGGTTCGATCCTCAGCACCACATACCAACAAAGATGTTGTGTCCGCTGAGAACTGAAAAATAAATATTAAAAATTCTCTCTCTCCTCTCTCACTCTCTCAAAAAAAAAAATACAAAGGCGTGAAAAAATGCTCTATCAAAATTATCTATCAAAAAAATGTAAATCAAAACTACAGTGAGATACAATAGCTAAATTGTGGAACCAACCCAGACGCCCTTCAGTAGATGGAAAGCTTTGGTATATATACACAGTGGAACATTGAGTATTTGCAGGTAAATGGGTGGAGTTGGAAAATATAATGCTAAGTAAAGCAAGCCAATCCCAAAAAACCAAAGGCCGAATTTTTCTTTGATATGAGGATGCTGATGCATAATGATGAGGGGAGCATGGAAGGTGAAGAAACTTTAGATAGGGCAAAGGGAAGGGAAGAGGAAATGATGGTGGAATGAGTTAGACATCATTATTATACTATATGTTTCTGAAACACTATTATATAACCACTGAAGAATTTTCCTTTTGATACCAGTTACTGAACTCAAGGGCTCTACCACTTGGGAAGTGCTCTACCACCAGAGCTACATCTCCAGTCCCTGTCATCATTTTTTGAGACAGGGTCAACAAGTTGTAGAGAACCTAATCTGCTGAGGCTGGCCTCAAACTTACAATCCTCCTATCTCAGCCTCCCAAATCACAGGGATTACAGGTGTGTCACTAGCCCTGGTGTAGCATTTTAAATTTTAAAAACCTTCCCAAAATATGTCCTTCTGTGAGGTTAGGAAACAAAGTAACAAAACTATGGTGATTTTTTTTTAAAAAATAAATGTTTATTTCAAGTATGAAAAGTAACATTAAGATATTATGCAAAAATTATGGTCAGCTTTAACCAGTATAAAACAAGAAATGAAAAGTTACAATTAGGTATAAAATACTTAAGAATATATTGACATTCACAGTGAGTGTTTTTGAAAAATAAGTTTTGCTAATGTAGCTTAGAAACAGAAATATGTACAGTCCAAGTTAAATAAACAAGCCCTCAGCTGAGGAACAGTCATCCCTCAGGATGGACAGGTAGCATTTGTACAAGCCTTCTTAAATAATCAATGTGGTTCAACAATGTCTAGGATCAAACACCTTTATAGCTTCACTGACAAATATCATCCATTTCATATGTCTCTTAACTCACAAAGTTGTCAAGCCATTTTAATTAAGCAGTATAAATGAAACATATAACTGGTAACCAAATTCTCTGGATGAGAAATCTTTATTGTGGAAGCAATCCTGAGTTATTTCCAGCAAGATGCTGAACAGAAAGTAACAGAACTTCCTAGTGGCAATTATAAAACCACATCTTGGGATTACTTTACAGGGCTGCTACCAAGGCTTCTGCTTCTTTTCTCCAGGTACATCTGTTTGTAGGTCTGAAACACTGAATCTTTTATAGGGTTTGGTACTTTCTCAAATCCATCTGCACTGAAGCTTCTCTTGCAAAGTCTTAAATTAGTCTCATCTAAAGAAACAGAAATGTTACTTTATTCTTTGTTACTCTTCATACATGAACAATATATAATCAAAAAATTGAAGAAAATGATACATTTATCAATGGGACAAAAATGTTAGGAAAAGAGTTAATGAAGCGTATACACATGAGCTCTTGCCTTTCGTGTTTTCTCTTGTCAACCCCATTTTCATGGCCCAGGGCTGGGTTCCCTTACCTTTACCCTGGCTTAATTAAAGTCATTCAGCTGGGCACTGTGGCACACAACAGCAGCTCAGGAGGCTGAGGCAGGAGGATCATGAGTTCAAAGCCAGCCACAGCAACAGTGAGATTCTATGGAACTCAGTGAGACCCCATCTCTAAATAAAATACAAAAAAGGGCTGGTGGAGTGCCCCTGAGTTCAATCTCTAGTACCAAAAAACAACAACAAAAAAACCCCAAAGATCCACATCCAAGGTACATTTTGTATGGATGTGACTTTTTATTGTGTGTGTGTGTGTATGGAGGAGTGCATTTAATCTCAGCCCTTTTTATTTTGAGACAGGGTCTTGCCAAGTCCTTGAGGGTGGCCGGGAACCTGGGATCTTCCTGCCTTGGTCTCCTGTGTTGCTGGGACAACAGGTGCTTGTATATGCTAGGCAAGTCCTTCACCACTGAGCTACAGCCTGAGCAAGTAATGGCTCATGTTTCTTTGTCAGCAAGGTGAGCTAAATTAAGTTTATTTTTTAAAAAAGTAAACTGACTTCTCTCTTTACAACAATAAAATCTCTGGTCTGTTAGGGTCACTTCAGCTGCTGCTTCTTAATATGGCTTTTTTTTGGAATGATGGAAGGGGCTCCAGGGAGCCCAGACAAAGACGTGAACTTGGAAAAAGAGATCCACAGATGGTGCTTCTTGCCCAGGTAAAGATTGTGCAGGTTGATGAGCGCGTGCACTGCCTCCTCCACGGAGCCCATCTGGATCAGCGCCAGCTTATGGTTCTTTCTGAAGAACTGGAACCTCTTGACCACGCCCCCAGTGCTGGAGAACAGGAACTTGAGGTTTTCCTCTGTTTGGGAAGGTGGGATGTTGGAGAGGAACAGGGTGGCAGAGGGCGGGAAGATGTTCTGGAGGGATCTGGAGTTGGGCTTCTTAAAGCGGTGCAGTGGAGAGTTGCTGAAGTCCTTGGTGAGGCCCTGGCCCTCCTGTACCTCATGGGGCAGATCTAAGCTCTGATGATTGGACAGCATGATGTTGATGGGCTTGCTATGCAGCTTTAACCCATTCAGGTGCTTCATAGCCAGCAGGGCCTGGTTCCCATCTGTCATCTGCACAAGCGCGTTCTCCTTGTTGAAGAACATCTTTATCCGCTGCACATCACCATAGAGGCCGAAAAGAATAAAGAGGTTTTGGAGTCTGACTCTTTTGGGATTGAGGTTGCTGACCTGCAGAATGGAGTTCCCAGGCCCTGCCAGGCTTGGGGTGGGCAACAGGGCTGGGGCTCTATGCACATTAGGATCAGAAAGAACCACGGCTTGAGGAATTGCAAAGGTTGGAGGGAACCCAGCTCCGGTATACAGAGAGGTTGTGGCCATGGTCTGTTCCTGTGGAAGGTGGCTGTCCTCAGAGGGCAGGTCTGGGCGTGTGTAGTCATGGCTTTTGTCGTTGTTATACTTGACCTTGAGGTTGGTGATTTTGGAGAAGTAGATGCGTAGTGTGCAGTAGCCATCAAGGATGTTCTGCCTGTGCAGTGACAGCTTGGCTTGCTGGGCGCTCACAGGATCTGCGTACTGCAGTAATGCCTGGGATTGGTTGTTGCTGATGAACTTGATGATTTTCAGGACTGTGCCGAACTTGGAGAAAGTCTGGTGCAGTACATCCAGGGTCACAGGGAAGAAGACGTTCTCTATGATGATCCTGAGCACAGAGCTGTGCCTAGCTATTGTCATCCCTGCATCCACAGCTGTGGCCGAGGTCAGGTTCACCGAATGGACAGAGTTCCCAGACTGCAGGGCCACTTCAGCTTGTGCTCGGTTTGGGGAGAGTACCTCGCCCTTGGTGACTTCACTGGGCAGCTTGTTGATGTGGATCACAGGGGACTGGACACTGGCACTCTTGCTGTCACCTTTGAACTTCTTGCTATCATTTCCGTTCGCTGCAGAGGTAGAGCTGCTGCTCATTATAAAGGGTCCTTCAGTGACACACGTAGAGAAAAGCTCGTCAGATCTCTGATTTGCGCAGGTCAGGTTCGCCGAATGGACAGAGTTCCCAGACTGCAGGGCCACTTCAGCTTGTGCTCGGTTTGGGGAGAGTACCTCGCCCTTGGTGACTTCACTGGGCAGCTTGTTGATGTGGATCACAGGGGACTGGACACTGGCACTCTTGCTGTCACCTTTGAACTTCTTGCTATCATTTCCATTTGCTGCAGAGGTAGAGTTGCTGCTCATTATATAGGGTCCTTCAGTGACACACGTAGAGAAAAGCTCGTCAGATCCCTGATTCGCGCTAACTGCTATGTCTGGGTCAATGCCGTCCATGGCACCAAAATGAGGTCTCATCTTTAAAATGGAAATATTCTAGCCTCTTTGAGGATTAAAATAACTAACTTGCAAATTGCCTAAGAGGAAGGAAACTCTGACCTGAGGGCAAGTCCAGCCTGCTGTCTATTTTGGTAAAGAGTTTACTAAGAACTTAGTCTCTACTAATTTATTTGCACATTATTTGCAGCCTCTCTCCTGGTACAATGACAGAATAGAGCAGTTAGGCTAAAAACCTGAGATATCTAAAATGTTTACTATATGGCCTCATATAGGGAAAATATGAAAACCCCTTAGCTAACTCAAAGTGATGAGATTTACTTTCTTTTTTAAAAGGAAATAATAGACCCCAGCTTCATAGCCCATATGGCATGACAGAAAGTGGAGAATGCCCTCTTACCACTCATAAAAACATTGAATGACTAAAAGGATATGGATAAAATCATTTCTTAAGCATTAAAATCATAATCTAATTTACATGGTTTCAAATAATATAATTAATAGACAATTTTACCTGTTTCTTGGCTGGTTTCTTGCTTCCTTTTCTTCACAGTTACACATTTTATCCAATCTTCTTTTGTACTTTTTATTCCTGAAACTATTTAAATATTTATTTTCAGATCTCTACATATTGGTATTCATCTCTTTTTGTAATATAATGAAGAAATATCACATTAAGTTGAAAATAGATTTTGGAATATACCAAGATATGTTAGGGCCTGGAAAAATGATGTATGAAGTGCCTGAATACCTCCAATGAAAAATTAGCTATTTTTAATAAAAGTTTCTCTTCACATTCTGTATTGGTTTCCCTACAGGGGCCGAAACACAGACACATCTGGGGTATTCAAAGAAATGAGAGGGCAAGCCAGTCCCATGGCCCATCTACTTCCACTTATGTGGCTACACCCAAAGCCTCAGGTTCTAAGGACCCAAATGAAATGGATTATTGAATCATCCACATTTAACAAATTGAATTCTGTATTCTCATCACACATCCCTCTCACCTTCCATGAAAACGTACCCTGTTTATGCTGAATCTTTTTAATATTTTTTTCTTTTTAGTTATTGGCGGACACAACATCTTTGTATGTGGTGCTGAGGATTGAACCCAGGCCACACGCATGCCAGGCGAGCGCACTACCGCTTGTTAATAATCACAACTCCTGAATGTTCAAACATAAATGAGTATAAACAACTAGTCAGTCATTTTCTCCTTTATTCCTGCTCTGCTCATGGCTGCCACTCTGTCTTTAGTGACATAAGTCACTACTGGATGACACTGCTTTCTGGTCCCCATTTCATGTGCAGATTAGATGTTACCATCTGCACTTTAAGGAAATAGTCATTGACAGTTTCAAAGATGAAAATAAATTGATCAATTTCTATATGAAGGGCTGGGGATGTGGCTCAAGCGGTAGCGCGCTTGCATGGCATGCCTGTGGCCCAGGTTCGATCCTCAGCACCACATACAAAGATGTTGTGTCCACCAATAACTAGAAAATAAATATTAAAAATTCTCTCTCAAAAGAAAGAACTGCTAGATTTAAAAATAAATAAATAAACTTTAACTTTCTATATGAACAAAAGGACCTTCCTACTAACCATTACATGTCTCCCAATATTTAGAACAAAATTTCTAAGTTTACAGGACTGCTTTTAAATTATAAGTCAAAAAAATATTTGATAATATTATCATTTCTTAATTTTGGCAATGGGGATTGAATCCAGGGGCAATTTATCACTAAGCTACATCCCCAGCCCTTTCATTTTTTATTTTGACAGGACCTTGCCAAGTTGCTGAGATTGGCCTCCAACTTGTTATCCCAAGTGGCTGGGATTACAGGCGTGCACCACTGCACCTGGCACACAATTTTTTTTTTTTTGGTGGTGCTGGGGATTAAACCCAGGGCCTCATGTGAGCCAAGCACTCTACCAACTGAGCTATATCTCCAGCCCTCACAATATAACTTGATAGTAAATGAAATATCTGTATTTGGCAAACTTTATGATTTTATGTAACTCTTGTCATTACTATGAATTTACTATAATTTACAATAAGGGAGCCACAAATCTAAAACAATCATTGCTCAGGGAAACGTTATCTGACAATAACAAATAGTAACTGTGTAACACATTCACATGGTTCCCAGCCACCTAGAAAGCACAAGGTACCAGCCCTTTTATCACCTACACCTCTTCATCATGTTGTATACATCAAGAAAATTATACTTCACCTTGCACGGGGGGTTGCTCTTGCTCCTTAGAATGAGGCTTCTGATCATTCCCTTTTTTGACAGAGTTTTCATTCTTTAACAGTACATCTGGACATAATTTAAACTCTAACATGCTTGGTTTTACTGTGGTGTCTTTCACAGGAGAAGAGTTTTGAGGGTCCTTTTCCTGCTCTTTGTCTTTTTGAAGCTTTTGGGGTGGTGAACTGTCATACTGGGTGAGACAAATGCTTTTCTGTTCCGTGCACTTAAACGCAACTCTGTTCAGATACAATTTTCTTTGCTTGTTTGCTTGGGGAGGCATTTGGTGTAATTCAACTTCACTACTTGTATTGGTGGATTTTTGGTTGGCTTTGGTTTTATCAGTACACACTTTGTCAGGCAACATGTGCTCAGCTCTTCCTTTAACATTCCTTGAATTGTCATTCTTAGACTTCTCAGAATGGTGGAGTTTGAGGCTTTTAACATTGCTGGTCAACACATTTGCTGGTTCTTTAGAAGCCTCTGTACTGCTGCCTGGTTTCTCATTTGGTTTCCCAGAGTTCCCCATCTGCACAGGAAGCTGACTGGGCCTCCCATCAGAATCATGTGGTACATTGTTAACACACGTCTTCTCTGATGTTTTGTTGGCCATCCATTCTTTATGCTTCTGCCTTTGTAAATATTCCTGCGGTGTTATGATTTTCTTAGATGAATTATGCTTCAAGTCTGAGGACTTTGTGTTTTCTTTAACACTGTCTCTCTCATTAGGGTTTGACAAAATATTACAGAATTTGAGTGCACCTCCCACATTTTTCTTCTGTTCCTGTTTATCAGATTTTTCCTTGTTTATCTCCCCATCCAGTATGTTCCCTTGGTCTAACTTTCTTTCTTCTGTATGTCTTTGTTTGGAGCTACCTACCCTAAACTTAAATTTTTTCTTTTCTGGTGATAATGAATGTCCCAAAGAACCATTCCTCCTATGTAGCTCTTTAGTTTTCACTTGGAGTGGACGAGAGTTCTGTGGTATGTGTTTCTCCTGCTGGTTTACCTGGGAAGCTTCTTCACAAACCATTGTCATTTTATTAGTCAAGTGAAAAGACACTTCATGAAATTTCAATTTTCTTTTTCTTGTATTACTTTGCAAGTCATCTAGTTTGTTGCCTTTTGGTGAAAATTGACAATTCAATTCTTTTTCTTTTAGGGAGCTGTCCTGTTTCACTTTAGATGTGTCCTTTTTATCACCATCACATTTAGAGAACTGACCAGGTAATTCCTGTTCTGTCCTTAGCGAGCAGTTCTTTGTTTCAGATGTGTTTTTTATACTCTCACCACATATTTCAGGAAAATTATTTTTCTCAGCCACCAGATTAAGAGTTGTCTTTGGATTATCTGACACATTAAATTCAAGGATAGTGATATCACTCTCTGAGGTTGTCTTTCCTTGTTTATAACTCTTGGTCTCCAAAGGAGAACAGTGATCCTTCCCTTTCTCCTCCTCTGGGGTGGAACTCTTGATGGAATCACACTGGCATTGAGGTACTCCTTCATAGACCGTTGTGAGCCAACCCAATGCACAGCAATGGATTTTGTCCTTTTCTGGTTCCCATGTTACAGAATCACAACAGGTAGTTGCTTGTGGGTCAGACAGGCTCCTTTCTGCTATAGGCTTCTCTGTCTGAGATTCTGCCAACCTATCTACCTCAGAGGCTTCCTCTGTGTCTACATCACAGGGTTCAACATCTTCGGGAAATAATTCTTTCATTTTTTCTGAGCTTAATATGGTAATTTGTATTTGGTCTGTGGAGTCCTTAGAATCACAAATGGTTTTATCGCCAGTTTGATCTTGTGAGATTTGACCTGTCACTTTTTGGCCCCCAGACTTTGCACATAAGTTCACAGCTTCAATGCCATAGGGAAACTCTTTTAGAAGTTCTGAGAGCTGGTCATGTAGATAAAACATGGGTGTGTCATCATCATGAATCTTTCTTGCAGGATCTTGGGTAGTGACATCACTGGCTGCCTTGATTTCTTGAGGGTAAATACTCTGCTGAATTGTGGGGGGTGAACAATGTACATCTTCACCTGTGCTTTCCTTTTCAATGGTTTGTTCTAAATTGCTTTCCTCTGGAATTCCTCTGCTTGTTTCAATATACTTAAAAGATAATGACCCTGGAGGTTCCAGTGACTCAGAATGATCAACTGTTTCATGAGGTACATCTGTGCACTGCACACATTCATCTCTTTGAAAACCAAGGTCCTTATCTGTAGTGGTATTATCTACTTGTTCTTTTTGTTGACTGCTATTAATCACTTGCTGATAGGATGAAGTGAGTTTCTGTGGGTCGATCTTTTCCAAAGGGGAAGAGTTGAATATCTTTGCTATTTGAGAATTATAAGTTACATCGCCTTCAACAAGAGAACAAATATTTTCAATCAGTAATATATCATCACTCTCAACAGAAATGCTGTTTGATTTATATGAGGCTTGCTGATCACCCAGAGGACAGTGCTTTCCTTGACTGGTATTAGGCGTGTGTTCTGAATTACCACTAGTTGGCTCATTCTGCTTTTCCTTCTGAGTTAGTGGAAAAGCATTGGTTGACATTGTAGTATTGGCTACTGGACTGTTAACATTGACGTTCACTGAAGTATCCACTATTTTATTTTTTTCCATTTGACTTTGTAAGCTACAAATACTACCTTCTTTGATAACTGGATACACCAGTTCAGGTAAAGCTTCAGGTGTCATTCTTTTGTGAGGCAATGATCTGACATTTGAAAGAATCAAGGGTGACACAATAGCAATCTGAAGTTCTGTCCCCTTGGTTACATTTGCACCAGAAGAGTCATAATTTTGTGTTATCATTGTCAAGGTTGTTTCCTGGGATGACTCTGCCCTTTTATTCTGAGAATTTCCTTCAACTGAACAAAACCCCTTCTCATCACCCTCTGTAGTCATTGAAATTCCATGCGCAGTTGTGTTTGTTTTTAATTCATTACACTGCTTTTCCTTTGAAGGTTTTGAAGTTTCTTCTGTTGCTGTTGTTGGTGTCTTCTTCCAAAGATTAAGACATGTTGTTAGCAATTCCATGGAACAGTGACTGTCACTTTTAGCAGATATTCCTTGGGTTGAGAATTCAGAAGGCTGAGCTGGTTCACTACAAGAGCTATTTGCTGTTTTCCTATAACCCATTAGAAGATTTTTATTAATTCTAATTTTCCTTGAAAGTTCTGAAAACTTGTTTTTAATTTCTACCAATGATTTAATATCTCTCACTAACTTTTCTTTCGTGTATAGTACCGGATTTGAAGCTGGATTGCAGGAATCCATTCTTTTCTCTTGATTATTTTGAGCAGGAATCTGAACACTATCCACAGAAGATCTAACTGGTTCATTAAAAGGCTGTTCGATATTAGTATGTACTTTCAAATCACAGAAATTTCCAATTGTGTGAAAATTTTCACTAATGTTTGGCCAGGGCTGATGAAAGCCTTTAGTTGAGTCTTTTAGTTCAGATGAGTACACTTCAGGACTCTGAGGAACTTCCGTAGGCAAGTTTTTTATAACATGTTGAGAATTTGGCAAAGGCTGGCTTCCATTTCCGGAAGGGTAAGGAAGAAGAGGAGGGGGTCTTTTGTTTGTTTGTGTAGGGTATTGACATGAGGACACAGGCAGAGTCTGTGATGACTGTAAAACGTGTGTTAAGGTTGGAAGCTGACAATTTTTAACTTGAGATGATGTAGATAGCACGTTTTGTTTCTGAACAGCTGGCTCTTGTAAATAGCTTTGTGGTGCAATGTTTTGTTTCTGAACAGCTGGCTCTTGCAAAAAGCTTTGTGGCTTAATGTTTTGTTTCTGAACAGCTGGCTCTTGCAAAAAGCTTTGTGGC